AGGTTCCACGAAATCCAGTTCTGCCAACGCCCGACAGGAGGGGGGGTGACGACTGGGTCTAGCAGTGGCGAAGAGTTCTGGCTCGCCTACAGCCCTACCAAACAATGTTGTAAGAACTTTTTGTGGTTTCCACGAAGTGTTCTTAGAACATTTCTGGCGAATCAATCTAAGCCTCCTGAATGGGGTCCGAGCAGATGGGGTCGGAGGATCGCGCCGCATCGCCGATGCATCGAGGATGCGGCTCGATGTTGAGACCGTATTTCCACACGCCGACGTCGCCGACGCATCTCCGACGCATCGCCGACGTCGCCGATACATCGCCGATGCATCGCCGATACATCGCCGATGCATCGCCGATGCATCGCCGATGCATTGGCGATGCATTGGCGATGCGGCGCGATCCTTCGACCCCATCTGCTCGGACCCCATCTAGGATGCCTCTAATCAAGGCCCCCTCTGGTTCTTTCGATGCATCTCCTGGCCTCTCCCCGCGCACGTGCCTGGGGCCACGAGGCGCTCCTCCAGCCCTCTCCCTGGCCTCCCCTTCCGTTCTCCAGCGCACGCGCCCTGGTTCGGGCGCACGTTGAGATCTTCAGCGGGCGAAGAAGGGCATACATAGGGGAACAAAACGTGACATAAACATAAAACTCGGAGGTCCGCGCGGATTTCTCGGATAGGCGCTGGGCCCCCCGGCGGCGCCTCGGGCGCCGCCCCTGGCGCGCTCCGCGCGCCAGGGAGGGGGGTCCAGCGCCGATCCTAGAAATCCGCGCGGACCTTCGAGTTTTTTATGTTTATGTCACTTGTTGATCCCATAAAGAAGGGCATACAACAAATTACGCCGGAGTGAAAACCGCAATTCGTGGATTTGTGAATGTTCGCATGTGCCTCGATCGGCCTTCCTACCGCTCCTAGTCGAATTCGAAGATACCTGGTAGTCCCGTCATGGATTCGATGTTCCTCTCTCTCTCTCTGTCTCTCTACTTCTCCCTCTCTCTCTCTCTGTTTCCGTATTTGTTTGTTCTTCATTTCTCTTGCTCTTCCCCGTGGTGTCCCGTGGCGCCGGGACACCCCTTGTCAGGCCATATGCTATTCTGTGTTATGCTAGCAGAAATGAGGGCGACCGTGAGAACTCTTGTGATGCCGATAGTGAGATCCATTGAGTGGGATCGAAAGTGAGATCGATCGGGAGGTCTTTGTTGAGATGTGCAGTGAAGCCGATTAAGTAAGTTCGGTTGTGAGATCGACTGTGGGGATGATGGGACAGAGAGGTCGATCGTGACATCGATGCTGATATCGATAGTGACATCGATTGATCGAGATCGATCATGAGACCTATCGTTAGATTGATCGTGTCTTCGTTCGTAAGATCGATAGTGAGATCGATTGAGTGGCATGGATAGTCATGTATCGAATGTGAGATCGATTGAGTGACATGGATCGTGGGATCGATATAGAGAGATCGTCCGTGAGATCGATAGTGATTTCGATCGAGGCATCGATAGTGAGATCGATCGTGAGGTCGGTGGTGCGATCGACAGTGCGATAGATAGTGAGATCGATAGTGACATCGATAATGAAATTGATTGTGGGATCGACTGAGATCGATAGTGAGATCGAAAGTGATATCAACCGGGAAATTGACTGTGAGATCAATGGGGAGTTCAATCGTGATATCAAAAATAAGATGGATTGAGTGACATGGACAGTGAGATCGATAGTGAACTCGGTAGTGAGATCGATTGAGTGAGATGGATGATGAGATCGATTAGTGAGATCAATATTGAGATCGACCAGGAATCTGGGCTCCCGGGACCCAGAAACTCGAAACCTGGGAACCTTGCCGCCCACCGAAATCTGTCCAGAACCAGCAACCGGGGAACCGGAACCAGGAACCCAGGAACCCAGAGATCAATAAGTTGGAGCATAGTGTGATCGATAGTGAGTTCGATCGTGAGATGGATAATAAGATGGATTGTGAGATCGATAGTGAGATCGATAGTGAGGACGATAGTAAGGTCGACAGTGAGACCGATAGTGAAGTCGATTGAGTGAAGTCGATGGTGAGATCGATCGTGAGATCGATCGTGCGATCTATAGGGAGATCGGTTGTGAGATCGACAGTGAGATCGATAGTGAGATGTGAAGTGGCATCGATAGAGAGGCCAAGCGAAAGTGAGATCCATAGTGCGATTGATTATGTTAGTTTCATAGTGCGATCGATAGTGATGACGATAGTGATATCGATCCTAAGACTGAAATCAAAATCGATGGTGAGATCAATTGAATGAAATGTATTGTGAGGTCGGTAATGAAATCGATCGTGAGTTTGATCCTTGCATCGATAAAGAGATCGATAGGGAGATCGACCAGGAGCACAGAAACCAGGGAACCCCGCCGCTCACGGAAATCGGTCTGGAACCAGAAACGTGGAGCCAGGAAGCCCGGAACCAGGAACCCGGAACCCATGCCGCCCACCGAAATCCGCTTCTAACGTTTGCCAGGATTTTCAATTTCCGCTAGGGCCCTGTCAGTGCAAGCACTGATTTGCGAACTTTTGCGTCGTCGGGGGCGCCTGTCCCAGGGCGGCTGGAAGCTTTATACCCCTATGGCTGTGCGTCAGGGTATGAATTACACTAGAGAAAACCCCAATCGGTGGATTTCCGAATTTTTCGCAGGTGTCTCGATCGGCCGTCTTCCCGCCCCAGTCTTTTTTGAATATGTTTCGTACTCTTGTCTAGTTCTTCGATGTCGATCTCTCTTTCTCTCTCTGCTTCTCTCTCTCTCTCTCTATTTTGTTGTTTCTCGTACTCTCTCTCTGTCTTCCTCTCTCTCTCTCTCTCTCCATCTCCCGTTGTGCGCGGGCATCTCGTGCAATGCTATGTTTATCGGCAGAGTGAGATCCATTGAGGGAGATCGAACGTGAGATCGATCGTGAGATTGGCAGTGAGGTCGATTCAGTAAGGGCGATTGGGAGATCGACAGTGAACTCGATAGCGACATCGATAGTGAGATCGATAGCGAGATCGATTGATCGAGATTGATCGTGAGATCTATTGTTAGATTGATCGTGTGTTCGATGAAGAGGTCGATGGTGCGATCGATTGATTGACATGGTTAAAAAGATCGATCGTGAGAGCATAGGGGAAATCCGTATTGATGTCGACAGTGAAATCGATTGAGTGACATGGATAGTGGGATCGATAGTGATATCGACCGTGAGATCGATTATGATTTCGGTGGTGACACCGATAGTGATATCGATCGTGAGACCGGTGGTGCGATCGACAGTACGATCGCGACAGATAGAGAGATCGATAGTGACATCGATAATGACATCGATTGTGAGATCGACTGTGCGATCGATTGGGAGATCCATTGTGATATCGATAGTGAGATCGATCGTGAGATCGATAGTGAGATCGGTAGTAAAATCGATTGTGAGATCGATCAGGAGATCACTCGTGATATCGAAATGGAGATCGATTGAGTGGCACAGATAGTAAGATCGACAGTGAACTTGATAGTGATCGATCGAGTGTGATGGAGGATGAGATCGATTAGTGAGATCGATAATGAGATCGACCGAGAATTCAGGTCCCCGTCAACCAGAAACTCGAACCGTGAGAATCCCGCCGCCCACCTAAATCGGTCCAGAACCAGCATTTGGAAACCAGGGAACCCGGAACCCGGTACCACGGGACCCCGCCCAAAACCGGAAACCCACCCACCCGGAAACCAGATATTTGCTACATTGCCGTAACATGCCATGTTCATTAGCTTGATTGCCCCATAGTCGCATGCACATATGATATGTATTTGGAAGTATGCACGCACAGATGTGCCTATGGATCTTCTACGTGTAAATATATGAATGTAGTTATGCATCCCGCAATCGGTCCGTGGTGTCCCGTGGTTGGATCGTGAGATCGATAGTTGGAGCAATAGTGAGATTTGAAAGTGGTATCAGTAGTAAAAGAATGTAATAGTGTGATTGATAGCGATAGTGAGATCGATAGTGAGTTGGATCGCGGGAAGGATCATGCGATTGATTGTGAGATCGATCGTGTCATCGATAATGAGGGCGATAGTAAGGTCGATAGTCAGACCGATCGTGAAGTCGATTGAGTAAAATCGATAGTGAGATTGATCGTGCGATCTATAGGGATATCGGTTATGAGATCGACAGTAAGACCGATAGTGCGATCAAACGTGGGATCGATCGATGGAGAGGTCGATACTGAAGCCAGTAGTGAGATCGACATCGAGTCCGATAGCGAGGCCGATTGAGTGAGATCCGTAGTGCGATCAATGATGACAAAGATAGTGAGAACGATTGGAATATTGATCATGTAATCGATGGTGATATTGATTGAGCGAGATGGTTTGTGAGATCGATCATGAGATCGATCATCAGTTCGATCGTTGCATCAATGGAGCGATCGATTGGGAGATCGACCAGAACTCGGAAACCTGGGAACCCCGCTGCCCACCGAAATCGGTCAGAACCAGCAACAGGGAACCGTGGAAACCCAGAACGGGGAACCCGGGAACCCGGCCGCCCACCGAAATCGGCCTCTCATTTTCGCAAAATCTTTCAAACTCCGCTATAGGACCCCTTCAGCTGGTTGGGGAATTTCCCAGCTGCCCTGGGACAGGCGCCCCCGATGACGGAACAGTTCATTTCATACCGTTCTTCGCTCGCGAAGAGGTGGATTATCGGGGGCGGCAAGGAGGGGGTGATGACTAGGGCGGTGTGGATATCATTGCGAGGGCCACGGTATCTCTGCAGATTTCATGGCGCCTCTTCTTATTTCGATACGTCCCCAGTCCCCCCCGCCAGCCGGCCATGATTTGCGCCCCCCTTCTTGGGCGCCTCCCTCTTGCACGCCCCCGAGATGCGGGGCCCCCGCCTCGAAGCCGCGCGGCGCCCACCCCTCTCGGCCACCGCCCTCATGTGGGGGCGGCGCGGGGGGCCGGCGCCCCCTCCGGGGCCCTCGCAGGTTCGTCCAGGCGGAGGAGGAGCGGGACCCGTTCGCCGTCGCGCTGGGCTTCAAGAAGAACGGGGCCCCCCCCCCCAGCGACCCGCCCGCGGGCGGCCCGCCCGCGGGCGGCGCCCCCGCGGGCGGCGCCCCGCGGGCGGCGCCCCCGCGGGCGCGTCGGGGGGGACGGCCCGCCAGCGCCCCCTGCCGCGGGGGGGCCACCCGGGGGCGCCCCGCCAGCGCCCCCTGCCGCGGGGGGCCGCCCGGGGGCGCGCCGCCGCCGCCCCCGGCCGCGGGGGGCGGGCCGCCCGCGGGCGGGCCGCCCGGTGCAGCACCGGGCGTCGCCTCCGAGGCCGCCACGGGTCAGAGATAAACCAAAAACACATCAACATAAACCTTTGGCGCTCTGCGCGGAGTTCTGGGATCCGCGCCGGGGTCCCCCCAGCGGCGCCTGCGGCGCCGCCCCTGGCGCACTCCGCGCACCAGGGAGGGGGCTCCAGCGCAGATCCAAGAAGTTCGCGCGGAGCGCCGAAAGCTTATTTGATGCCGTTTGTTCCTCGCTCAATGGAAGAATCGGGGAAACGTAAGACCCGAGTAAAGTCGGCATGTTCGCGTCGTGTCGACAGACGGCGATCCCGCCGCCGGCGTTCTACGTTTAGCGCCGCCAGCGACCCAGGGTCGGTCGATTTCGTTCAAGGTTGAACGATCCCCACGGTGTCAGGCAACGCCGGGGTCGACACGACACGAACTTGCCGTAAGATTCGAGTACGCCAGAACTCGGGTTTGCCGACGTTTTTTGACGAGTGCGTCCCAGATTTTGACGGTGCAGCCTTCGTGATGAGTCGGAACGATCGAGATGGGTACGGGAAGAATGGGTACGATGTTCAAGAGCAGTTCTTGTTATTTTTGAGCAGGGCTCGCTGTCCGCGCCGCTGCGGACGTTGTTCGCTGAATACAGAAAACCGCCTGCCCAACAGCGGCCGCTGTCGGTTTTGGACACGATTTGTTGTTGGCCGTTGTACCGATTTTCCCGTACCCACTACGGGCGTCCAAACGGGATTGACTCATCGAGGTCTTCCCAATCGTTGAGCACGATGCGACAGCGGCTGCTTGCGCGCCCAGATTTGGCCACATTGCGCCCCTTGCCCCCTTGTCTGGGTGGGGGGAGGGGGGCCGGCGACTGCAATCGGCGGCGATCTTCTCAGAAGGGGGAGAAGTCAGACGGGGCGGGCCGTCTCAGTCAGGAGGGAAAGAAACACACAGACACAATTAATCGTCGATCCCCAGGGAAATATGCGAAAATATGGGAAGTGGTGGGGAAGACAAAAAACCAGAAAATATTGAAAATATAGGGGATATTTTTATTTGTGTGTATTTATTTGTGTGTTTGTGGGCCCCTTCACTCAGAAGACTCAGAAGGCCTCGGGCCGTCCGAGAGGTTCTCTAAGCCATCCCCCGACGGCACGGAAAACTTCTCAGAAGGCCGGATGGCTTCCCAGAAGTCCCGCCGCTTTCTCAGAAGGCCTGTCCTTCCTCATTCCCCCCCGAGCGCGCCGCCGATAGAAAGGGTGCGAATACGCGGGAGCGTCAGTGCGGTTTGCGATCTGCGTCGTTGGGGCTTGGGGGGCACCACGATGCCCTCGTCGGGCATCCTCGCGGCGTGGCGGATAGTTTTGCTGAGGTCCTCGCCCGCCTCCCAGGCTGCGCGCTGCAAATCACACACTTTGTAAATCACTTGGCATCGTTTGGACGTGTGCAATTTTTCCCAACCATCCTGTGGTGTTGGGTCTTCGCTTGTAAGAGACAGCGCCCCATGTTCATCCTTCCCCCTTCCTTCCTTCCTCCTTCCTTCCTCCTCCAATCCCTTGCACCCCTCACACGTTTCGTGGCCCAATAGGGAGCCCCACCGAAGGCCCAAGTGCTACCGCCCGCATGCGTCCCCCCCACCCAGTACAGCGTTTCGTGGCCCCACAGGGAGCTCCACTGACGACCCCAGTGCTACCGCCCGCATGCGTCCCCCCAACCAGTACGGCGTTTCGTGGCCCCATCGGAAGCTCCACCGTCGGCCTTAGTGCTACCGCCAGCATGCGCCCCCCTCCACCCAGTACAGCGTTTTGTTGCCCCATAGGGAGGTCCACCGAAGGTCCCGATGCTATCCGCCCGCATGTCTTTCCCCCACCCAGTACTGCGTCTCTTGGCCCCGCAGGGAGATCCACCAAATTCCTCAGCGGGACTGTCCGCATGCGTCCCCTCCACCATGCACCGCGTGTCGTGGCCCCGTAGGACGCTGCACCGAGGCCCCACTCGAACCGTCCGCGTGCGTCCTCCCCACCGATTGCGGCGCGCCGTGGCCCCATAGGGACCTCCACCGAAGGCGGCAATGGCATTTTCCACGTGCGCCTCCCCCACCCAGTACAGCGTTTCGTGGCCGCATATGGAATTTCCACCGAAGGCCCCAGAGGCAAAGTCCACAAGCGTTTCCCCTCACCCAGTACAACGTTTCGTGGCCCACAGGGATCTCCACCGAAGGGCCCAGCGGAACCGTCGGCATGCGTCTCTCAGCGCTTCGTTGCCCCAAAGGTGGCTCCACCACAGGCCCCAGTGGCTAAGTTCGCCACCACCCAGTGCAGCGTTTCGTGGCCCACAGGGAGCTCCACCGAAGGCCCCAGTGGCAAAGCTCGCATGCGTTCCCCCCCCACCCAGGACAACGTTTCGTGGTCCAGAGGGAGCTCCACCGAAGACAATACCCACAACTGTGCGACTTACAACTGCATGATGCTGGGTGTTTCCCCAGGCAAGTTCGGCGAGGACCATCGAGGAGCATCCTGGCCCATCAAACAAAACATGATCGACTCACGAGACCGGAAAGGAATAAGAACATGTGAGTCAGGGAGCCAGAGACGGGGTTAACAGCAGACGGGGTATCAGGAAAGGGCCGGTTCGAGGCATCAAATGGCCTTTTTGTTGCAGTGCAGCTTTTTTTGCTTTCGCGTTCGATGCAGCACCTTCCACATGCTGGCTGCGTTGCACATTTTCGACTGCTGCACTGCAACTTGTTGTTTTGGGCCCTCTGTTACCCGGTCTGTGGGGCTTTTTTGTTTTTGTTGTTTGTCCGAAATTAGTTGCCAACAAATTGCAGTGCTTTTTTTTGCGTTGCAGAAAAATGCTGTGCACTTTTCCGTTCTGGTCGTTGCAGTTTTTCCACCTGGATCCCATGGTGGGTCTGTTACCCCGTTTAGGCGTTACCCGTTTAGTGCTCCCTGAGTGAGGCATGGCAACGTTGTCAAGACGCTTGATTGGGCGACGGGCAATTGCAACGCTGAGTGTATCGATCTTGCTGTAACGTGCCAAGGGTTTGCCGTACTGCGCCGCGCTGAATTGCAATGTGCCATGCTGCGATTGTGCTCTATTTGGATCGAGTCCTCTTTTGCCTCCGAGTGGATCTTAAGCTCGAGCTGCCTGGGCATGTAGTAGCTGCCCCAGAGGTAGTTGAAGTGGAAACGTGCAGGACGTTCAATCAACTCGACCTCAAAATCTTCCTCAGCTCGGAACAAGAGAGGGCACGGGGCACAGGCTTGAGGATGCGCCACAGGATGCACCATGGGGCGCAATAAGGGATGCGCCAGGGGGCGTGTCAGGGGACGTACACCTCAGGCGATGCTTAAGAAAACCTAAGCTTTCGTCCAGAGTCTCGATTATTCTTGACGTTTCCATGTAAACCCTAAGATCTGAATAGAAATCCTGGGTTTTTATTCAAGTTCTGAGACTATGAATTTCTTAACCCATGATTTCTTAAGCATTTCGCAGGGTGTATGCGTGCAGTCGGCAGCTGGTCGCCCCGGGGCACGCTCCCCCTCGATGCTCGCGCGGGATGCGCGCCGCAAGAGGCCCGGTGGTTGTATGTCGAGCGTGTCTACACCGGGCCGCTGTTGGGAGGTGGTTGGGTTCGGGAGGCGGGGGTGGCTGCGTGTGCTGGGTTGGAGCAGGCGGCGGCGACACGAGGGTTCTGGAGGGAGCACGAAGGAGTCGTGGCGCTTGGCCGAGCAGCCCTATCTTTTTTATAGAGTAGTTATAGCCTGTTGTGCTCTTCGTTGGTAGTCGCGAGCAGTGCTTGCTTTCCCAAATCGCAAGTTGTGCGGGTCCTGTGGCGCATGGGCTCGTCTACGTTTGGACTGCAGCGCGCCGGGAGCTGCTTGTTGCGGTGGCGTGGACTCCGTTGTGCTCTGTGGCGGGTGCCTCGCGGCCTCGCGCGTACTCTGGTGGTGGCTGGTGGTTGGGATGGCGGTGGCGACTGGCTCCTCTACGCGCCGCTCCTTTGAGCAGCTCCTTGTGTGGTGCATCCTCGGCCCGCGCTCCGGGGATCAGTCGCCGGCCCTGTGGTGGTGGCGGCGGGTGGCGGGGCCGGCGCCGGCGCCTCACCGCGCCCCGCTTCTGTGAGCAGCTCCCTGCGCGAGGGCATCCGTCGTTGTTTGCACGGCCCCTTGGCTCATGATGTTCCAACCTATCAGAGCCCCGAATCATCAGGGGTAACTCGGGTCAGGGATAACTCGGGTTCGTTTTTTCGGGATTCCGAACCCGAGTTACCCCGGACCCGAGTTACCCCGGATAATTCGGGCGTCCAGAGCCCCAAATCATCAGGGCTAACTCGGGTCAGGGCTAACTCGGGTTCCTTTTTCGGGAAGCCAAACCCGAGTAACCCCGGACCCGAGTTACCCCGGATAAGTCGGGCGCCCAAACCCATTGTAGCCTTGATCACCAGAAAGAATTTCGAGCGCCAGAAAAGTACCCAAAAACTCTGGGGGGTTCACGTGTCGGGCCCTGGGAGACACTCGTCCGACACTGTTTCCACACTTTCCCGGATGCTCGAAATTATTTCTGGGATGTGGTCCTTAAGTACGATGGGGGCAACATGACCCTTGGCCGCGCGCTGCTGAGACGCAGGTATTGGGACTGTGCGGTGCCCTGAGGCGCAAGCAAAAAAGCAACAACAAAACCGAAAAAGGGGCGTTGCAGGGGGCCGCGCCATGGAACGGGCGGGGGCAACGCCTGGTGACGAGCCGAGTGGCGTGCTAGGGGACGCGCCAGGGCACGTCACGCCAGAGCGTCGCAGGGGACGCGCCAGGGGACGCGCCAGCGCGCCAGGGAACGCCCCACGGACGGGCGGGGTTGGGCTGCGATGCACTCTGTTGCGACAAGCGCGTCGCTCGAGACATCCTCAACAAGTCCTCATGTTAGACATCCGCCTGGGCGACCTGGACACTTGAAAGCAAGCGATTTGCTCGAGACGTTCGTGCTAGACATTTGCTTGGTCAACCTTGACGCGTGAAATCAAGTGTCTCGCTCGAGATATCC